TCCACCTGGCTCTGAACATAATGAAGAGCGGAGTCAGCTTAAGCGCAAGCTGACAAGAAGTCTACGCAATGATCGCGAACAGTGGTGGGTAGCGAAAGCAAGAGAGATGTAAAAGGCAGCGGCAATGGGTAACAGTAGACAACTGTTCAAAATTGTCAAGGAAACCGGTATTAGGAACCCGACTGTTAGTGAAACTATCTCGGAAAAAGATGGACATATTATTCATTCTCAATCCAGGAGATTAAATCGATGGGCAGAACACTTTAGGAATCAGTTCAACTGGTCTTCAACCACACTTCAGTTTCCCACGATCTCCAGTCGACCTGAATGGCAAGTTAATGTAGGTCCTCCGTCCCTTTACGAAGTTGAAAAAGCCATAGGAAATCTGAAACGAGGGAGAGCAGCAGGCCCTGACAGGTTTACCCCTGAGATTTTTAAGGATGGTGGTCCAGTATTAGCAATGAGATTAACCGAGGTCTTAGGTAGAATTTAGGAACTGGACGTAATCCCATCTGACTGGTCTCAATCACTGATTGTGCCAGTCTATAAGAAAGGACAAAAGTCCTCCTGTGACAATCACAGAGGAATCAGTTTGACTAATATAGTGTCAAAAATATTAGTTTCAATAATACTTCGACGCCTAGCTAGAGCTCATGAAGAACAGACTAGAGAAAATCAGGCTGGTTTACGACCTGAACGTGGCTGCATAGACCAGGTATTCACACTAGGTCAAGTTCTAGAACACAAACACACATTCAGAAGTCCTACAACAGCGGTATTTCTCAACCTTGAGGCGGCATTCGACTCTGTTGATCGTGAGGTTCTATGGCAGTGTTTGTCACTGAAAGGAGTATAAAAGAAGTATATTAGCCTTGTAAAAGCTATCTACTCGAACGCAACTGGTAGAGTGAGAGCTTATGGCGAACTGTCATCAGAATTGATTACCTCAAGTGGCGTTCGTCAGGGCTGTCCACTCTCTCCTTTCTTGTTTAACTTTGTCGTTGACGTGCTTTTAGAGATAACACTTTCCACATCTGACTTTCCAGGGGTTGAACATTTTCCCAGAGACTCACTTGTTGACCTAGAGTATCCCGATGACATAGTTCTATTTGGTGAAGACGCTGACAAAATGCAGAGTCTTCTGACCACTATAAGCAACAATGCAGGCATGTTCGGCATGCGATTCTCCCCCTTGAAATGTAAAATGTTGCTTCAGGATTGGGTTGCACCGACACCCCGACCAATGATAGGGAGTGAAGTAGTTGAGCGTGTCGACCGCTTTAATTATCTTGGGAGTCTTATCAACCCATGTGATCAGGTGTGTGACGAAATCTCAGCACGGATACAGAAGGCTCGACTAGCTTTTGCCAACTTGCGTCATTTATGGCGTAGGCGAGATATCCGCCTATCAACCAAAGAACGGGTTTACTGCGCAGCAGTTCGTTCCGTCCATCTTTATGGCAGTGAAACATGACCGGTAAGAGTAGAGGATATTCGTAGGTTACTAGTATTCGATCATAGGTGTCTTCGAAACATTGCTCGTATATCATGGGACCATCGAGTAAGTAACACAGTTGTTAGGAAACGGGTATTAGGTAAGGATGGCAAATCTATTTATGCACTAGTGAAACCTCATCAGTTGAGATGACTAGGACACGTATTACGTATGCCCAACCACCAACCGACCCGACGTGCAATGTTTTATGATGTAGGAGTAGGTTGGAAGAAAGCTAGGGGCGACCAGACCAAAACACGGCACAAATCCATGAAGTCACAGACACGTGGACTCAGTCATGCTGGTAGATGTAGACTACCTGGTTGAGATTCGCGGGACGATAGCAACCGATGATTAGAGACCTAGAATGACATGGTTCAAAATCGTTTGCAATGGTGTGAGCAGGTGCATCCACTCTTTGAGTTCTCCCAAATTCTTCTCCTTCAAAATTAATTTCACTGGATTATATTCCCTGAATAACATCTTCAAACACTAATCTTTCCGATTACTGATTAAACTTTTACTACCTCTACCACTATGGGATTTGAATCGACAATTGTATCTGTGTGATAATGTGGTATGGTAACTTGAGCTGACGTACGTACGTACGTACGAAGTCCTACGTTTTGACTGACTGTATATCTTAGTCTGGCAGGAAGTCAGTTTCTGCCTAAACAGATCGGTCATCGCATCTCAGACTGTGAAGCTAGTTGATGAGGTCTCGAGCATATCAGAGTACATTAGTTCCCTCATGATTATAGGTACACATTTTTGTGGACGCTACTCACAAGCATTCTTGTGAGTAGTATGTGACGATACGTGGCCTTGAAACTGTCACAGTCGTCAGACGGAGTAAAGAGTTTCAGTACATAAAACGCACGATTTAGGCAGAACACTTGATGATCATACGAGATGACAGTTTGAATTGCATAACACACCGCGAGATGCAAGTGTTTGGTCAAAGACTATGTATACGTGTTAGGTAAACTTTGTGATTTCCCTGTACAAGCAGACCTTTGTCGCACTAGTTCGGTTTACCCTTTGACAACGATGCTCCAGCAGAACAAAAATCAGGTCCAAAGTTTCCTTTTGAATACGTCCAACCAATACAGAATATACGTATCTTGTCAGATCATGACAAATTAATCAATTAATTTCGCAAAGCCTTTCGGGTTCCACGTATCAAATTTACAATATATTTGAACATTTTATAAATATATGAAATGAGTTAATGTCGCATCGTTCATTTTAGTCAATATTATGAATCTTTTCGTTAAGTAATATAAGTTTGTTAGATACGAATTTACACTAGATGCGATAGAATTCAACAACACTGGTTTCAAAGTATAATATAACAAACATGGGAAAACGCAAGGATAGTGGGGAATGATAGAGTAATTGGCTTTCTCGTTCCTACCTATCTAGAGGAGACGATTTCCACGTCAGATTTTCCAGCAATTCGGTGATGGTTGATCGACCATTCTCAGCTAACAGCATTTACTAAATACAACATGGTTAGTATCAATGCCTAACGTCTACCAAAGTTCCTATTTTAGGGAGTCATTTACAACCACAGCTCACTCCCCCCCAGTGGAACTGTGAGAAAATTTTGACATCACCAGACAGAAGCTTAAACCCAACGACCTAGCCATCATTAGACACTCCTCTGAGAGCAGCACATAGTTATCTACACTTAAACCAATAAATCGTATGATGAACAAGAAAAGCTGTTGGGATAAAAACATTACATAGTTCCTTCGTTTTCTGCTTCAGTCTCTGTCTCTTCCAGTGAGTGAGTGTTGGGACAAATTGTGTTAAGACTCTTAATAGACTATTGAACCATGTTCCGGCCATAAAGTGCATAAATCAATACAATAAACTAAAGGAAATGTTAAAGAAAAGCAAAAGGAAAACACATTCGTTTATTTTTTAAAGCAGGTATTATATGGATATATAACTTAAATATAGTTTGGACTGTTATACATTTCTATGGCTTTCAAAACACTAACGCACAACTGAGAACTTTATCAATACATATTATCTAAATTGAATTACCTTAAAACTCCATCTAACTTAAGTATAGTCAAATCTGAAATTGATATCGAAGTGGATGGTGGCCGCTCATGATAAACACACCCTTAAAGTATAATCCCGCTGAAATTAGGCAACTCTGAAAACTGACTCTTAACCAATGAGGACACAAGTCGTCAGAATCAAGAATCCACAGTGGCAAGTAACTTTACAAAATAAACAGCCTTGTCAACATTCGACATTAACTCTGACCTTTTATTTTTAACTGAAACAAGTAGCTAGAGGAACCCAGCCAAATATTGTGGCTAAGACCCGTCTTAACTTCTAGATAGTCACTTCCGAAGTCTCATGATCCTTAATCCATCCTCACGTCCACATATATTTCGCTCCACTACTATCGTCTATTTCTACAACTGTCTTCGGGATATCATTCTTCAAATATTTGGATGTCTGTAATTCACAATTGATTGATCACTGGGTGGTGATCAATCTCATGCTTGTCTAGTCCTTATTAGTGCAGATCGAATGCTATCGATCATGTTGCAATGTGGCCACCAGTCTAGGTGACTCGACACTGCGGGCACTATGTAATGAGATTAGATGGTGGTTGGAGGTAGTCAACAGGAAACCCTGGACCCGGGTTTCGTGCTACTTGGCACTCGTCAGCAAGGTGTACCTGTAATCTTGAGGGAACTGGTGCTCCCTGGCGGATTCGATCTCGTGTCACCCAGCTTCACAGTCAGAGACGTTACCACTGAGCTATCCGAGCCGTGACTAACCTCCTGTAGGACTGAGATGTAATCCAGTCACCTAGACTGGTGGCCACATTGCAACATGATCGATAGCATTCGATCTGCACTAATAAGGACTAGACAAGCATGAGATTGATCACCACCCAGTGATCAATCAATTGTGATTACATCTTAGTCCTACAGGAGGTTAGTCACGGCTCGGATAGCTCAGTGGTAACGTCTCTGACTGTGAAGCTGGGTGACACGAGATCGAATCCGCCAGGGAGCACCAGTTCCCTCAAGATTACAGCTACACCTTGCTGACGAGTGCCAAGTAGCACGAAACCCGGGTCCAGGGTTTCCTGTTGACTACCTCCAACCACCATCTAAATGTCTGTAATTCAATAAGTCAATAATAACATCACTTAACTGAGTTTATTTCAAACAAAGGGAAAGCAAAGAAACTCCTCACTAGAAGGAGCAATCGTTCCGTGTAATCTAAGTTTAATGTCATATCATTTTAGTGCACAGTGCTGAGGAGACCTTTTTATTCTGTTCAAAGTTATTTGAATTGTAAATAAAAGAATTTTCTACTGTCCTACAATCATATCTAACATTGTCATTTGAACTAAGCACGAAAAACTAATAGTTACTATATTTATTCTGACTGACCCGGTAATATAATGTAGTCTAACCAGCAAAGGTTCATAGTCCCATGATCAAAATCTAGAACAGAACAGTTAAATACAAAGGAAATTCAATATTACTATTCGAATTCTCAATTTAGTTAGTACATTCTTTCTGGTTTATTCATACAGTACAAAACTACCTTAAATTCAATTGATCTATTGTAATTACTACACAGCTCATTGTTATAGATTCGTACGTATGTAGGTGGGTAAGTGGAAATAATTTTGAAGAACAGAAAACCACAATACAATTTTCTTTTTGATAAGCATAAATATTCAGACTGAAATCATAATATATAATTAAATTAAAGATAAAATCTACCAAAAAGGAAGGCACAAAGGTAAAAATAAATGCAAAAATCCAATTACAATGTAATTGACAAATTAATTCAATAATATTTAGTGATAACATTAAATTTTCCTTATACACTTAGGATAAATTTAAAAATTATCCCATTCATGTAAATATCATTCTATTAGTGTCTGTTTTAAAAAAAATTCAAAGATGGTTCATGAAAGACTAGGGATAAGCAAAACAGGAAGGTACAAGTAAAGGGATGCAAACGAAAAAAATGGAGAAATTCAAATAATCTAGAAATGATGAGTAGGATAGGGGAAATCATTGTTTAACAAAAGGAAAAACAACTCATTAATAGATATTAAGTAAATAAACAACTTATAACAAATAATTACTAAGTTGATTATGAAATTCTGAATTTGTTAAAAAATGCCATCGACGTTGACCTAATGCAGTACAAATGCAACACTCTGCTATTCTTAATCTAGACGATATCGATTCAGTCATCATTGTACTATACCATGTAGATATTGTAGCTGGAACAGTTAATGGACAAACACCATCTAACTGACAACATTCTTTTTGGATAACTAATTGTAATGGACTATATTTACATTCATTCATAGAATTACAACATTGATTTCTTTGACGACATATTACCAATAAGGTTAAAATATGCACATAAGCACTTGAACCACCAAGAGCTAGTAGATTAAGATGTGGACAGGCTTTAACCAAATCTTGTAGAACATGATCTAATCCATATGAATGATTATCTTTACATGATTCATTCAATTGTTTAACTGAACCAGATATATTCAATTCAGAAGGTATATTCTGAACAGTGAAAAGAAACACAGAATTATCAAACAAATTATTTTTGATAAGTATCAATAAAATTCTGTAGTTTTACAATTGATTTCTATAAATAATACCACAATAGGTTACTATACTACTATCTATTTTCAGAGGACATATCTACGGACTAATCAATTTAAAGTGAGTATACACATCTTAACGCATACAATGTTTAGCTAAACAACCAAAACTGTTACCACTTTTAGAAAACTTTTGATCAACATTAAAAATACGACTAAACCTATAAAGAAAAATTTATACAACAAAACGTGAAATAGCTACCTTAGAAGCATGAAAGTGGAATCAATGTAAACAATTCGAAGTAATCCAGTAGTTATAAGCAGAATTTTAAAAGTTCATTCAATTCAAAATAAACCAAGAACAACGATTGTAGTAGAAAAATATGAATTTGCTTGACTATCTGGACTATCTATTCCTGTCATCTAAATCTTTCAATATGTTGTTTGTTTTTATTTGTTTTAACAACTCACTATATCTATTAATCGCACAACCTATTCAGGCACGTTTATGAGAAGTTTACGAACTTTTGCTGTACAAGTTACAAAAAAGTACAATCAGAGACATTGTCATGGCTGATAATATGTATTGAAAAGAATGAACATTATTCAGATGCCCATTCTTAAACTGATAACATCTAACTGGCGATTACTCAACATTTAACGTCATGATCGATCAAAAAGTAAGAAAAGGACAATTATTGTATGTATTTTTCGAGCACATTCTACAAAAATTGACACTGTAGTCGATGCTATAAAACAATTAGATCCTGTAACATTTTCTTGATAGTCGGTATGACGATGACATTGTAAAACCACCTAAAGTGATCAATAAGAAAATGACTTCAAACGTATTGTACTATACTAAAATCATAGCTATCAAAAAACTCAAACTGAACTCATGAATTAAAAAAGGATAATGTTATCAGTGTTGTATTTAATATCTACTATCCTCAATTTCTAACACTTATTTTAGTAATATCATATTTTGCATGTGCAACTAGAAATTCCTCTTCTACATTCTTTTTACTGTATATTTATCTTAATCAATCTTTTTTGTTAATGTGCAACTTCTAAAATATTCGCATTATTTGACAATTATATGAGCATCTCATACAACTCATTTTTCTTAATAAATTTCGTTGATTATAACAAATATAGTATGTACGTTGTTTTGTTTGTCACTACCCGCAAATGCCCTTGTACGGCCGAGAGTGGGGAGAGTCCGCTCTCCCTCTCGAAATGCTCTCACATGGTCACGCGTTTATAGCCTCTGTCAGGGAAGTCCTACTCATTGCCTTCTCGTGGCGCAGGTGTTGTTTACAAAACTGAGAGGACGAAAGGCGAATGTCCGGCGCTCTAATCGAGTTGATGGGTATGGAGAGTTCATCTAGGGGAGTTGGAAAACCCTGATTCCAAACCAACGGTACACATGGGCTCCGGGATCCTGAAGGAGCAAATGGCGTATGAACCAATTGTTGGTCACTAGAAACCATGAGACTGCATTTCCTGACGTTGTTCCACTGCCTTGTGGATCAGACCTTTAGGTCGAAGGTTCCTGGTGTGGTCCCCTAAGAAGCTCACCTGCTTCGGTTTGGGTACCCGGGCAGCATCGTAGCCCTCGCACAAATCAAATGAGATTTGTGTGGCGCATATCTATTTGATGCCTCCTTGTACCAATGTTTATGTGTTTAAATAAATAAATTGTTTTTAATGATTCATACTACTATTTCTAAGTTGTCAACAGTTGAACAGAATTAATGAAATAAATGAATTCATATTACTCTCACTAAACATTTTTGGAGTAAAAGTATGGTATAGGGAGGAGCTTAAGACAATTGTGAAGAATTTACGGATTGTATCCAGACAATTAGAGAAAGGGCTTTTATAAATGGATAGTTTATGGAAAAGAAAACAGTACTATTCTGAATGTAAACAAATTTTATATGGTAAATTTATTAATTTCTTCCACAAGTAACTACTCTGACTATAAACTGAGATAGAAACTCGTTATAATGGATATAAATTGTACATATTCTCGAACCCTTGCAAGGGTCCAAACAAAGTTTTGGGTTTTAATATTGTTCATAGTTAGGGTTAGAAGTAGGGATTTATGGTTAAAGTTTTCATTCCAAACGGACATCAGCTATGATGTACAAATACTCCGAATCCATGTAGATGGATAAATTTCACTCAAAAACATAATATACGCTATCTGATTGATTATTGTACCCATAAAGTGTAGTGCCACCAAGTTAAGGTTTGTTTCAGGCTTAAAGGTTTAAGACACAGGGATATTTTCAATTTCCCTGATATATATAATCTAGGAATTAAGCATTTCATAGGTTTGACATTATCATTTTTATTTTATGGTTCCAAAAAATAATTTTTCACTATCATTTTAAACGTTGTGAGTAGTATACAGGAGTATTTCTACTGCATGTTATACATAATATTTGAATTTCACTTAAATCCCTTATAGTCGCGTTTTTTATTCTGAGGATAATATGGCACAAAAACTTTCAGGAACATTATCGTGTGAATTTGAATCGTTAGTGTAATATTTACCAGAAAGTTGACTATTAAATACCTCTTAATCTTTACTGCATTTCACAAAATGAAATACAATAGGTTGGAAACAATTTTGCTATCAGAATCTTACTATGATTTATTCATAGAAGTATATCTAGTTCACTATGAACATGATCTAAATTAATTTTCTTGATAAAGTTGATCCGATTTATCCTGAACATGACAACTTGCTTTCGACTTCTTATCAATACCATTTCATTTGACGTAAATTACTCTCACCAAATAAAATTCAACGTTATTAATAGTACTGACTCACATCGTTTGCTTGACTTCAAGTGACACTATCGCTCTATTCAAAGAGGTAGATGTTGTGGGGTAATAAAATATAATCTAGTGATCAAAAGCCACATTTTAATTAACAAGCCATTATTTCACCCATACTATTATTTAGTCAAAATATAAAAATACGAATAATGAGTGTTCGGATAAATCATTAAAGAATAAAAATTGCATACTTCCAATAATATTATCAATGATGTAAGTGATTGTGAATAAGATATAGGATTGATTGTATTTTGTGGACTTAATAAACCAGCCATAAATGCAGGTTCTCCAGTTAGAATCAATGTGATTGAAGTGACCGGTGCAGGAGGAACAGGCCAATAGGACAGTAAATTATGAATTGAATTGAATTTATCAGATGATGAAGGACTTTTCCACCGTAAACAAGTTAAATCTTCAACTAACTCCAACTTTAAATGAATGGTAAGATGTGGACATAGAATAAGAGCAGCACGCCACACGTTTGAAGGTATCGGTTTCCAACCAGATGTTGTATCTTGATTAGTTCCATATCTACGAATACGTGGAACATCTTCAGTCCAATCAATCAAATCCAGCATACTTGAATCACTAGGATCAAAACTTTGATCTTCATTAAATCCCATATATAAATCATCAGAATCATATGAAATAGTTCGTTGAACAGGAGGATTTTCAGAACGAGGTATGGTAAATACAGTCGAATCAGTCTTTAAAAAATGAAATAAAATGAAAAACTGCTGTTAATCATCTTTTAAGCAACACTCAGTAAGTTGGCATTAAAAATAGTCTAAAATAATGGTCAATGAAGTCATTAAGAAACTTATTCCAAATATTAATTTTATTAACAAATAGAAGACTTACAAGAGATTAAAAGTAATGACACAAGAAACGAATCACAGTTATTATAGAATCCCATAAATGTTTACGTAAAGATCAAACTATAAAACAATTTTTATTCATTACTAACTTTCAAAAGCTAAATATTAGCGTTAACATACGTCAATTTATTTGACTATACGTCACAATGCTAAGTAGACGTTCGTAGAAATACTGACTGTCTTTATTCGAATATTTTTTAAAGCCGAAAACAATATTAGCTTCGTTAACAACACTGAAAAGAATAATAGCCAATTTGAATCAGCCAATTAGTTGAACGACTGTACCACCATTCATTAAAGTGCACAAGTATTGTCATTACGAGAACATTATTAGATTATAGTACTATCTTTTTCCCTTACCGTAACATTTTATATTTACTCATCACTGACTTACACAAATACGTGAGAAATCCAGTTAGAAAAAGACATTTGATATGAATTTAACGATATCCTTTCTTAACTATGATCCTCCACTGACTGATACTTCAATCTAATACCTACTACATTATAGATACCTTAAATATATCGAAAGTCATAGGGATTCGAGTTTAAAGACCTAGTCTTTGTGTTCAGCAAACATTTTTAACATTTCTGTCCTATCCTTCACCAGAAAACATTCAACGGACGATGTTACTGATCTTTTTATACCTTAATTTTTCATTTAACTTCACTAGGTGCATTATTAAACTGACTATTCACATATTTAAATAAAATGCGAATGACAATATTTAAAAAATAAAATGAAGTCATGATATTTCGAGTCTTCACATTAGTTGCCTAAATGGGCTAAACTTATAATTAAATATAATATTATAAATCAAGTATAGTCAATGAAGTCAACTTCGGAATAACACAGAAAAACAGAAATAAGAAAAACAAAACATTTAACATAGTTCTTACAACTATGTTGTATTTATATATTAAAAACGAAGTCATATAAATCAGTATGTGGTGTTATAAATAATAATTAATAGACAATTTAAGTTTTTTTTTTGACAAATAAGTGGCTATATAATCAACCCACCTAGTTTGTATAAAATTGAAATTAACGATATGTGTCAGAGGAATATAAAATTAAGGGATTACGTAACAGATAGTTTATGGCAGTGAAACATGACCGGTAAGAGTAGAGAATATTCGTGGGTTACTAGTATTTGATCATAGGTACCTTCGAAATATTGCTCATATGTCATGGGACCATCGAGTAAGTAACACAGTTGTTAGGAAACGGGTATTAGGTAAGGATGGCAAATCTATTTATGCACTAGTGAAACCTCATCAGTTGAGATGACTAGGACACGTATTACGTATGCCCAACCACCAACTGACCCGACGTGCAATGTTTTATGATGTAGGAGTAGGTTGGAAGAAAGCTAGGGGCGACCAGACCAAAACACGGCACAAATCCATGAAGTCACAGACACGTGGACTCAGTCATGCTGGTAGATGTAGACTACCTGGTTGAGATTCGCGAGACGATAGCAACCGATGATTAGAGACCTAGAATGACATGGTTCAAAATCGTTTGCAATGGTGTGAGCAGGTGCATCCACTCTTTGAGTTCTCCCAAATTCTTCTCCTTCAAAATTAATTTCACTGGATTATATTCCCTGAATAACATCTTCAAACACTAATCTTTCCGATTACTGATTAAACTTTTACTACCTCTACCACTATGGGATTTGAATCGACAATTGTATCTGTGTGATATGCAGTATGGCAACTGGAATCGATGTACGTACGTAAGAAGTTCTACGTTGTTGCTGACTGAATGACTGACGTAAAAGATAGACATTATATCGCCATAATTATTTTACCATGGTTATAAGAAGTTTACCACATTTTTTCTAAAACTAAAGTTCAGGTTGTGATTGCTTGATAACAATAACCTCCCCAAAGAGGATTAAAAACGATATTTCTTGTTTGTTAATTAATTTAAACGCCATGGTGATATCCACGTTATATGCATTATCCATTAAGCATTATGAAATTTTAAACATTTTGCTTCCTTTCCAACACAGCGTTCGCGGATATATTCAGAAATTCTTGTGGACGCCCTTCTTTTAGTCCTTCCTAATTATTTGCCACTGTAAGTGCATGTAAATTCACAAACAAATTTGGAAGTAACCTCAGAAGGATATTGATCCGCTTTTAACTGATTTAATAAACATTTGGTGTTAGATACTGAAAAAAGTTGGGCTCCAAGGAAGCTCCTTTTTAGCATTTTACCAATTTATGATTTTATGCAAAATCACATGGGGCCTATGTAAAATATGAAAATTGCACATTAAATACATCACTTGCACACCGTCTTTCAGTTTTTCCTTATCTGCTCCATCATTCTTCCCCCCCCTGAATGCCCTGGTACGGCCGAGAGTGGGGAGAGTCCGCTCTCCCTCTCGAAATACTCTCACACGGCCACGCGTATACAGCCTCTGCCAGGGAAGTCCTACTTATTGCCTTCTCGTGGCGGGGGTGTTGTTTACGAAAATGAGAGGACGAAAAGCGAATGTCCGGCGCTTTAACCGGATCACAAACCAATGGTGCACATGGGCTCCAGTATCCTGCGGGAACAAATGGCGTATGAACCAATCGTTGGTCACCGGCTACCATGGGATCGCATCTCCTTACGATGCTCCACTGCCTTGTGGGTTAGACCTTTAGGTCAAAGGCTCGGGGTGTGGCCCCCTAAGAAAACCACCTGGTTCGGTTTGGGCACCCGGGCAGTATCACAGCCCACACACAAATGATGAACTCTTTATGTCTATGGAAATTACTTTTCTCGCTTCGAAAAACAATCAATTGATTCAAATTATTATCATTACAATTATTATTATTATTATTATTATTATTATTATTATTATTATTATTTTCCACATTATTCCCCCTCTTTTATACTTATACAGCGGCTCGTCTTCGGTGGAAATTCGACTGTATCTAAACGTTCTATAGTCACTGTCCGGTTGAAAATTGTATGTTACCACCGAATACGAGGACTGAAGCAGTTTTTCTGAAACCACGTGCACCATTCAATTGGCTGCCTTCAACGTTCGCACACTTATGCAGGTCGGACAACAGATAGGGCTGGCTATGTCTTTGGAAAGTCTTAATATTGATGTTTGCTGTCTATCCGAGACCCGTATTCAAGACTCTGGCGAAGTACTACAAATTCGATCTCCATCTGTCACTTCGAAAAGCTTATTTTACGTGCGCTTATCCGGGGACCCTGTGGCATCTTCGTCTGGTCTTGCTGGCGTTGGTGTCGCACTAAGCGCTAGAGCTGAGGCAGCACTAGTCGATTGGATCCCCATTAACAGTCGGTTATGTGCTGTTAGATTAGAAAGTTCCATCAAAGTGAGAAGAAATCGGCGTGAGAAACGATGTCTTTTCGCCATCTCCGCCTATGCCCCGACAGATTGCAGCCCGGATGCAATCAAGGATGAGTTTTACCGCCAGTTATCTGTTCTTCTCCAGAAAGTGCGTTCGACAGATATTGTAGCACTAGCCGGAGACTTGAATGCTCAGGTCGGGCGTCTAGGCACAGAAGAGAGTCGTTTAGGTGGCCGATGGGGACTCGTTGGTCTCAGGTCAGATAACGGGAACCGTCTACTGCAACTTTGCACAGACCACAACCTGTTTCTGGCTAGCACTAACTTTCGGCACAGTCATCGCCGATGTGCCACCTGGCGTCCTCCCTCTGCATCTCAAGCCTGGACTCAGATTGATCACATCGCGATCAGCTACCGCTGGCGTGGTTGTGTACAAGACTGCCGCTCCTTTTGGAGTACCAATCTGGACTCTGACCATGCCTTGGTCTGCGCCAATCTTGCCTTACTTTTCAGTGGACAACGAAGTGAACGCCATCAACGGATTGATGTTAGCAAGTTGGTTGCAAGTAAGTATCGAACCGAGCTAGCCTCTAGGCTAGCTACCACTCCACCGAAAAGTATAGATGAGCATTGGTTGCGATTGCATGACGCCATGAAAATGGCGGGAACAGTCAGTTGTGGGTTTGCGAAACGTCCCGCTTTTAAGCACTGGGTTTCTTCTGGTTCCTTACAACTCATTGAAGCCCGTCGGTCTACTCCGGTCGACCGTGAGTTTGACCATAAACGAAGGATGTTACGCAAAGAAATTGGGCAAAGCTTGCGTAAGGACCGAGAAGCCTGGTGGTCGAAGCGTGCTAATGAGCTGGAAGCAGTAGCTGCATCTGGTAACTACCGTAAGCTCTTCCAGCTCATCCGAGCCACTGGCAGCAAGAAGTCTGGTATGAGTGAAACAATCTGTGAGGATGATGGGATGCCAATCACTAACATCCATCGACGTCTTGGACGGTGGGCAGAATTTTTCGAAGGGCAGTTCAACTGGCCTGCTGCTCCGGCAACATCGGTCAGACTGTCCTGCCCTCCATAGCCGGTGACGACTGATCCACTAAACGGGCAGGAAGTAAGCAAGGAACTCCAACTCTTGGAGCGTTACAAATCACCTGGCCCAGATGACTTACCTCCGGCCCATTTTAAAGATGGTGGTGACTTTCTGGCTAAGGAACTGACTGTGTTGTTTATAGATGCCTGGGAACTAGAGACTGTTCCAACATCATGGAATGAGTCGATAGTTGTCTCTGTCTTTAAAGAAGGTTCACGTCGTTCCTGTAACAACTATCGGGGGATAAGTCTACTTCCGATTGCGTCCAAGCTATTGGCTTCCGTCATGCTTCGTAGACTGTTCAAAACCCGAGAAAGATTGACTCGCGAGGAGCAGGCTGGTTTTTGTTGTGGTCGACGATATATTGATCATATCTTCACCCTCCGCCAAATGTTAGAACACCGCCATACTTTTCAAAGGCCAACAATCGTAGTGTTTCTTGACATCAGGGCTGCCTTCGATTCGTTGGATAGGACTGTTCTCTGGGATTGTCTATTGAAGAAGGGTGTGCCTGAGAAGTTCATTAACATCCTAAAAGCCCTATACACAAACACCTCAGGCAGAGTGAGGGCATACAACCACCTCTCTCCATTGTTCCATTCGAGTAGTGGGGTTAGGCAGGGTTGCCCAATCTCACCATTCCTCTTCAACTTTGCCATCGATGACATTCTGGAAACAGCTCTGATGAATGTAAGTAATGGTGGTGTGGATCTGTTGCCTGGAGAAAGACTTCTCGACCTTGAGTATGCGGACGATATTGTCTTACTGTGCGATAATGCCCAAGGCATGCAATCCGCACTTAATCAGTTGGCAATCAGTGTCCGTAGGTATGGTATGTGCTTTGCATCTTCGAAGTGCAAAGTACTTCTACAAGACTGGCAGGATTCCAATCCTGTACTCACCCGGGATGGTGAGCAGATAGAAGTAGTCGAGAAGTTCGTGTATCTGGGTAGCTGCATAAGTGCTGGTGGTGGCGTGAGTGATGAGATCAATGCACGTATAGTGAAAGCCAGAGCGGCTTATGCCAATCTGGGCCACCTTTGGCGCCTTCGTGATGTTAGTCTGGCTGTAAAAGGTCGGATCTACAACGCGTCGGTGAGAGCAGTTTTGCTTTATGCTTGTGAAACCTGGCCTCTCCGAGTTGAGGACGTTAGACGACTCTCTGTGTTCGATCATCGTTGTCACCGAAGGATTGCTGACATTCAGTGGCAACACCATGTCAGTAATGCAGAGGTTCGGCATCGTGTGTTCGGGCACAGAGATGATAATTCAATCGGTGTCACCACCTTGAAACACCGACTTCGGTGGCTTGGACATGTTTTACGAATGTCGTCCCAGAGAATTCCACGTCGTGCATTATTTGCCGACTCTGGGACTGGTTGGAAAAAGCGGAGAGGTGGTCAGTGCATGACATGGCGTCGTGGTATGAAAGAAAGCTGCAAAGGACTGGCTCGTGTTGGTCCTTCACGACTCCCTGGTTGGGGTCCGAGAGATGGTGCTACACAGTGGCTAGAGACGTTATCAGATATGGCTCAGAATAGAACCCAGTGGCGGTCCTGCTGTAACCTTCTTTTACTTTCTTCATAAAAAGTAGTTGTGTCTCCTTTACCTGAAAGATTTCTTCTGATTGTACCTTTTCGTTCCGTCGTTACTACCACACTACCTTACACCAACCTCTTCGTTATTGTTCTCTTTTTCTTTTGCGTTCCTTAGTTTTTTTTCTATTTCTACTTCTCTTCGAATTCCATTGTTTTGTGTGGCGCATACATATTGGCGCTCTCTTGTACCAATATTTATGTGTTCAAATAATAAATAATAATTCTTCCAATCCCGTTGTTATTCCGACATCCCTGCTTTCTTTCTTCTCTTTATTACAATCTTCCGCTGGTAAGCACTCCACTTACAATTCCTGCTACATACTGCTTATGTCTATCCGCATAAGTAGAGCAAACCACAATATTAGTACACTAAAAGACTTCGACTCACAAAGATAAGGGAATCAATGAGTTACATTATTGCTTCTTCGTGACAAAGACAGGTAAAGACAAGCTTTCTCGTAACAATTAGTTTTTGAACCTATCTGTAAACATTATTCTATACTTCGCACATTTCATATTAAGTAATCTTGAATAAATACCAATTTAAAAGGTTTGTTTCACCAAGCTTTGACGATATATTTGTTCGTGCTATCATGTTGTTTATTATTCTGATATTTACTACTATGCCTGTCACCTTACAAATTGTACTTTTTACTTATATATAATTAGTTGTGTAATCCTTCTTTATTATTAGCACTGAATCACACATTACCTTAATTAGTTTCAATTTTTCTATACACCGATATAAATATTGATGTGGAAAATGAAACCTGATGAATATCAAACTGAAAGCAATAATGTTCGATTAATACCTATTGTTTTACATTAGGTGGTTGGAGGTAGTTGACAGGAAATCCTGGACCCAAATTTCGTACCATTTGGCATTTGTCGGCAAAGTCTACCTGTGATCTTGAAAGAATCGCTTCTACTGACGTATTGGATCCCGCAACACCCAGCTTCACAATCTAAGACGATACTGCACAGCTATTCGGGTCACGACCGAGATGAGTCGCTTAGACTAATGTCTACATCCCAACTTGGTCGATAGAATCCAATCACAATTAAAAAGACTAAACAAGTATGACACTGATCACTACTTAATAATCAGTCAACTGTAAATATGTTGCTTTACTCTCCATTGTCTGAATTTTTAACATTCTAAGAAGAATTACCGAAATTAACACATTAACAGAAAACACCTCAAATATAACAAGTAAACTAAAAATAGTTGATAATTGATCCCAAATAAAATAAAAGCATTATGAACTAATGGTAACGAACTTGAATTAAAGATAATTGATGCAACGAAGTTTGATATAAAAGTCGAAGAAGCATTGAACCGGTTAACTGAGTTGGACTCAAAGTAAGACGTATAATTTTAGGGAAAAGACTAGACAAATCACACAAAGGATTATCGCTGGTCCGTTGAGATCGAGCACTAAGCCAACGAGGATCCAAAAGGTACCAATCTTCATTGAAACATTGGTGGCTATTGTTATTTGAAACATTGTTAGTAGTTTGATGTTCATCAGAGACTAAATTTGCAAAACCTGGGATGTACTCACGATGATGTGCGGTTATTGGATTGACAGATGACTTATGGAAGTGAACAAGATTGAGATCATTTAGACAATGTGAAGCAACCTGAATAATGGAAAAAAATCATACAACCATATTTAATAAGTGATTAACCAATAAGAAATATAAACTAAACTTCAAGTTTAATACATGACAAAATTAAGGTATAAAAAACTGAATATCTTCGTATAATTGTTGATGTTACTAAATAATAGAGTTAATATGTGTTATAAATATCGGAAAAATGCAGACCTTGCAGTGCTTTGAAAACTTTTAACAGTGAATGAAGCTGAGGCAGAAATATCAGCATACTGTTGTGAACAAAATGAGAGTGGGGTAGATGGAATTCCCCGTGAGATAAAATAGAAACTGCACCTGTAGCTCTTCTAGAGTTATTGTCGGTCCCAAGCTCGGGTAAACAAGGAGGGTTGGACATGGAGTCAGCAACCCCATCCCGTAGAAAACTAACTCGCTAAAAAAACGCTAACCAGAAAAAATAATTCAAATCATTTAAACTCTGCCCTGAGAGTTAGAAGGTCTTCATTTGGAAGAACTATGACACCTCATGGTGGAAGCCGAGTTCCTTCGGAAGCCACGATACCAATGCCCCTTTTAACAACCAGAACAACAACTTTTATAGGTACATGGAACGTCCGGACGATGTGTGGCACCGAGAAAACCAATCAAATAGCAAAGGAAATGAGGAGATACAACTTGGCAGTACTGGGAATCCGAGAAAACCCGAATGCCCTGGTACGGCCGAGAGTGGGGAGAGTCCGCTCTCCCTCTCGAAATACTCTCACACGGCCACGCGTATACAGCCTCTGCCAGGGAAGTCCTACTTATTGCCTTCTCGTGGCGGGGGTGTTGTTTACGAAAATGAGAGGACGAAAAGCGAATGTCCGGCGCTTTAACCGGATCACAAACCAATGGTGCACATGGGCTCCAGTATCCTGCGGGAACAAATGGCGTATGAACCAATCGTTGGTCACCGGCTACCATGGGATCGCATCTCCTTACGATGCTCCACTGCCTTGTGGGTTAGACCTTTAGGTCAAAGGCTCGGGGTGTGGCCCCCTAAGAAAACCACCTGGTTCGGTTTGGGCACCCGGGCAGTATCACAGCCCACACACAAATGATGAACTCTTTATGTCTATGGAAATTACTTTTCTCGCTTCGAAAAACAATCAATTGATTCAAATTATTATCATTACAATTATTGTTATTATTATTATTATTATTATTATTTTCCACATTATTCCCCCTCTTTTATACTTATACAGCGGCTCGTCTTCGGTGGAAATTCGACTGTATCTAAACGTTCTATAGTCACTGTCCGGTTGAAAATTGTATGTTACCACCGAATACGAGGACTGAAGCAGTTTTTCTGAAACCACGTGCACCATTCAATTGGCTGCCTTCAACGTTCGCACACTTATGCAGGTCGGACAACAGATAGGGCTGGCTATGTCTTTGGAAAGTCTTAATATTGATGTTTGCTGTCTATCCGAGACCCGTATTCAAGACTCTGGCGAAGTACTACAAATTCGATCTCCATCTGTCACTTCGAAAAGCTTATTTTACGTGCGCTTATCCGGGGACCCTGTGGCATCTTCGTCTGGTCTTGCTGGCGTTGGTGTCGCACTAAGCGCTAGAGCTGAGGCAGCACTAGTCGATTGGATCCCCATTAACAGTCGGTTATGTGCTGTTAGATTAGAAAGTTCCATCAAAGTGAGAAGAAATCGGCGTGAGAAACGATGTCTTTTCGCCATCTCCGCCTATGCCCCGACAGATTGCAGCCCGGATGCAATCAAGGATGAGTTTTACCGCCAGTTATCTGTTCTTCTCCAGAAAGTGCGTTCGACAGATATTGTAGTACTAGCCGGAGACTTGAATGCTCAGGTCGGGCGTCTAGGCACAGAAGAGAGTCGATAATGCTCAAGGCATGCAATCCGCACTTAATCAGTTGGCAATCAGTGTCCGTAGGTATGGTATGTGCTTTGCATCTTCGAAGTGCAAAGTACTTCTACAAGACTGGCAGGATTCCAATCCTGTACTCACCCGGGATGGTGAGCAGATAGAAGTAGTCGAGAAGTTCGTGTATCTGGGTAGCTGCATAAGTGCTGGTGGTGGCGTGAGTGATGAGATCAATGCACGTATAGTGAAAGCCAGAGCGGCTTATGCCAATCTGGGCCACCTTTGGCGCCTTCGTGATGTTAGTCTGGCTGTAAAAGGTCGGATCTACAACGCGTCGGTGAGAGCAGTTTTGCTTTATGCTTGTGAAACCTGGCCTCTCCGAGTTGAGGACGTTAGACGACTCTCTGTGTTCGATCATCGTTGTCACCGAAGGATTGCTGACATTCAGTGGCAACACCATGTCAGTAATGCAGAGGTTCGGCATCGTGTGTTCGGGCACAGAGATGATAATTCAATCGGTGTCACCACCTTGAAACACCGACTTCGGTGGCTTGGACATGTTTTACGAATGTCGTCCCAGAGAATTCCACGTCGTGCATTATTTGCCGACTCTGGGACTGGTTGGAAAAAGCGGAGAGGTGGTCAGTGCATGACATGGCGTCGTGGTATGAAAGAAAGCTGCAAAGGACTGGCTCGTGTTGGTCCTTCACGACTCCCTGGTTGGGGTCCGAGAGATGGTGCTACACAGTGGCTAGAGACGTTATCAGATATGGCTCAGAATAGAACCCAGTGGCGGTCCTGCTGTAACCTTCTTTTACTTTCTTCATAAAAAGTAGTTGTGTCTCCTTTACCTGAAAGATTTCTTCTGATTGTACCTTTTCGTTCCGTCGTTACTACCACACTACCTTACACCAACCTCTTCGTTATTGTTCTCTTTTTCTTTTGCGTTCCTTAGTTTTTTTTCTATTTCTACTTCTCTTCGAATTCCATTGTTTTGTGTGGCGCATACATATTGGCGCTCTCTTGTACCAATATTCATGTGTTCAAATAAATAAATAAATATGAAACCCACTGGACCCAAGCTGGACAACAAAGGCTATATACGATAGAGATCCTGCTATACTCCGGCCACGAAGAGGAAAATGCTCCACACACTCAGGGAGTTGCTCTCATGCTGTTCAAAGTAGCACTTGTAGGATGGGAACCTCACGGATCCAGAATCATTAAAGCATCATTCAAAATAAAGAAGGAGGGGATCACAATGAATATTATTCAATGTTATGCACCAACCAATGATAGCAACGACGACATTAAAGATCAATTCAACGAGCCGCTGCAATCAATCATAGAGAAGTAACCAAAAAAGGACCTCACTATTCTGAAGGGATATCTAAACGATAAAGTCGGAATAGACAACACCGGATATGAAGATATCATGGGACGACATGGACTGGGATAGAGAAACGAAAATGGAGAAAGATTTGCAAATCTATGTGCATTCAATAAATTGGCCATAGGGGGAACAATATTTCCACACAAGCGTATACACAAGGCTACATGGATCTCACCGGACCACACCACAGAGAACCAGATAGATCATATTTGCATCAATAAAAAGTTCCAAGGAACAATGGAAGATGTGAGAACCAAGAAAGGAGCTGACATAGCTTCAGATCACCACCTAGTTGTAGCCAATTTAAAACTGAAGCTAGAGAAGAACTGAACAACTAGACAAACAGCACTACAAAGGTTCAATACAGCCTTCCTTCGAGATACTGACAAACTCAATGAATTCAAGATAGCTCTCAACAACAAGTTCCAAGCCTTATAGGATCTACTGAAGGAAGAAGAAACTACTATGGAGGACAACTGGAAAGGTATCAAAGAAGCATTAACTTCAACGTGTCAAGAGGTTCTGGGGCTAAAAAAGCATCATCATAAGGAATGGATCTCTATAGAAACACTGGACAGGATCCAAGAAAGGAAGAAAAGAAGACAGCAATTAACAATAATCGAACAAGAGCTGAGAAAATCAAGGCATAAGCTGAATACACAGAAACAAACAAGCAAGTGAAGAGCAGAATCAGAGTCGACGAGCACAAATAGGTGGAAGAACTAGCAACGATAGCAGAAAGAGCTGCAAGAGAAAGAACTTTCAAGCAACTATATGACACGACGAAGAAACGGTCAGGGAAATATTGTAGACCAGAGAGATCGATCAAGGACAAAGAAGGCAATCTAATCACTGGAATTCAAGGACAGAGGAACAGATGGGTAGAATACTTTGAGAATATCTTGAATAGATCAGCTTTACTAAACCCACCGGACATCAGAGCAGCACACACACACCTTTCAATAGATGTCACTCCAACAACGACGGGAGAAATCAGGATGGTCATCAGACAAATCAAGAGCGGTAAGGCAGCTGAACCTGACAATATACTTACTGAAGCACTGAAATCAGCATTATAGTAACTACAAAGATGCTCCACGTTCTACTCAGGAAGAATTGGGAGGAAAAACAAGTACCGACGAACTGGAAAAGACACCTCACCAAGATTCCAAAGAAAGGAGATCTGAGCGGATGTGAAAACTAGAGGCATCACACTACTATCAGTACCAGGGAAAGTCTTTAACAGAGTGTTGCTGAACCGGATGAAAGATGCAGCAGACACCCAACTTCGAGATCAACAAGCTGGATTCCGTAAGGATCAGTCGTGCACAGACCAAATTGCGACAATACGGATCATCGTCAAACAATCAATTGAGTAGAACTCAACACCGTACATCAACTTCATTGATTATGAAAAAGCATTTGACAGTGTAGATAGGAGAACGTTATGGAAACTTCTTCGACACTATGGGGTTTCTGAGAAGATTGTCAGTATTATCCGGAACTCATACGACGGACTACAGTGCATAGTTGTGCTTGAAGGACAGCTGACAGATGCATTCCAAGTAAAGACCGGAGTCAGACAAGACTGTCTACTCTCTCTCTTCCTCTTTCTTGATACGTCTTGTCGATGAAACGCTATATACGATTCCTAAGCCATCTGGTAACCCGCAGACTAGAACTACACAGCGACTTGAACACCAGAAAGAAGACACAAGTATGAGAGAAAATACTTTATCCCAAGGTTCATTTTTGTACAGAAAATCAAGGGTATTTATAGATGTTGGCGTCTCTTAAATCAACATCATATTTCAGCCAATCCGTTAACGTTATATTATGCTACCGACCAATAATAGCACGCCACGCTGGAATTCTCGAACGTTCCACCGTACTCTGATTGGCTAGGATCTTTCGGCTCCTTTTTGGGCCTCTGGAGGCTCCGTTAAAGTTCTCCGGAAGCCGACTCAACATTTCTTCTGGTGATCGACTGGATTATGAAGACCTCGACATCTGAGGGAAAACACGGCATACAATGGACAGCTCAGAATCAATTATACGATTTGGACGTCGCAGATGACCTAGCCCTCCTAACGCATACACACGAACAAATGCAGACAAAGACAGCCAGTATAGCAGCAGTCTCTGCATCAGTAGGCCTCAACATACACAAGGGGAAAACCAAGGTCCTCAAATACAACACGGGGAACAGCAATCCAATCACTCTTGATGGCGAAGCTCTCAGTCAGTCAGTCAGTAACAACGTAGAACTTCGTACGTACGTACATCAGTTCGAGTTGCCACACCACATTAGCACAGAGATGTAGTTGTCGATTCAAATCCCGTAATGGTAGAGGTAATAAGAGTATAAGCAGTAATCGGGAAGATTAGGGTTTGGAGATGTTATTTAAAGGGTATAATCCAGAGAAATAAATTTGGAAAGAGGAAAAAAGGGACATGAAGAATTCAGAAGATTAGAATTTGGGAGAACACAGAGAGTGGATGCACCTGCGCCATTGCAAACGATTTTGAGCCATGTCATTCAGGGTCTCTAACCATCGGTTGCTATCATCTCGCGGTCCCCAACCAGGTAGTCTACACCTACCAACATGACTCAGTTCACTTGTCAGTGACTTCATGGACTTGTGCGAAGCTCTGGAAGATGTAGGATCCTCACATGGATGGAGAACGCTGGTGAACGGTCTATGTTCCTTCAAGAGGAGTAACAAGCGTAAGTAAGTAGGTTAGTACTTGGAACTTTTTAGTGAGAGTTTTTTGTTACTGTAGCAGTACCAACAATGATGTAGAAGACGTTAGCAAGTTGATTACACGTGACAGTTTAATTAAAATGGTACTCATAGATATATATTCGGTGTACGACATTGGATAAAGAAACAATCAAACATCGCTAATTAATTCTTACATGACAGTCTGAATGTTCTGAAGAAGGACTTCAAAAGAACTCAACCTACGATAATGTGTTATCAGGTTACATCACTTGAGGATTTGCAATTTCTATCCACTTCAAATACCAAATGACGCATTTTAACACCGCTCATTCAATGAAACAACAAATTCACTGATCATCGAAACCCTTGATATATTATTCACCTTACGTCGTAATGGGAAATTGAAATATCTAGTGAACGAGATGATTTTCAAAACACTAGTTCCGTCTATATGCTATAATAGTAGGACGGAAAAGCATGAAGGATGACATCCAGTTATCCAGTCTTATATTGTTTAGGTAGTGGCGAAAATTACAGACTTGTTTGTTAAAATGCAGAGATGGTATCGAAATTCACACTGGGAACTGTGTTATATGCTTCATACCTAAATAGAGAGAAGCACTTGCAGATTTTGCGTTATTTTTGTATTTATCGAATTACAGTTCGCTATGAGAGCGCTGATCGGTAAGGTTTGATCACAAACAAGGTCATTGCAACTATCCACTAATCTACCTTTAGGATTTTTATTCGAAATGACACAGAATTAAACAGAATCATTGAAACCTATTGTTGGAATGTTACAAATGTTCCCAATATTAACAGATATTTTGCTAACTAGTTAGCATAACACAAAAGAGAAAAATGAAGGTAGTACATTGTTTCCCGAAAAAAGGAACAATTAAAACTTTACCACTACATTAAACCAAAATATTTTATTTCACCTATCATTAGGCACTGATTTTCAGAAAAATATAAATTGGATTTTCGTACATGACTATGATGAATGGGTGATGGGGTTATTGACCGAATCTTGTCACTATTACCATAGTTGAAAGGCTTGGTATGATGACACGTGGGTCATACTTCGTCTGGCTTTCTCGACTTTGTTCTAGCTTGGTTTCCAATACAAAATACCACGAGACCAAGAGCTTTTGACTATATGTACTGTGTTTTTATCACAGCATTCGCACGAAATTTTCTATGGTGAAACAAAACTTGTTTACACGTACAGTAACCAAATCCGAATCCTACAGACCAACAAAACAATACAATGTAATGTTTATGGCTGATAAAACGAAATGTCTTTGACCAAAATATAGACATTTTACAAATCAACTCAGAAAATTTCAAGGCACGTGAAAAATAATTTAATTTATAATTCACACTTACATCACTTATTTCACAAACTAACTGTCTGGCGTCATCGGAAACAAGAAAAAGATCCACTAGGTGGAGACGATGAAGCTCACTTAACTGACGTACCACTCGGCTAATCGTTCTCAGTAATGCACCTCCAGTTCCATAAACAAGACCACGCAAATCATCGACTTCAGAATTAAAATCCAATTCAAAAGAATGAACAATAGGTGGGTGGTGAAAAGGTGAGAAATTTGACACAGATGAGGGATACTGAGAGCTTTTACTGCGTTTGAAGCTGCTACAATCATAACGATGAGATGGAGGATAGCTAATGGAGGGCATTCTATGCGATTGAAATTGCTCTAAATCATTGAATAAATCAGCTTGCTAATAAAAACAATGAAATTCAAGTTTAGCAAAACTTAAAAGCCATACACAACGAAATAAACTAGACCAATAATATTATATAATGCTAAATGATATGATAATATAGATATAGCTAGAAAAGGCTGCATCAAGTATTTGAATGAAACTCTCATGAAGCCAAAAAATGTAACTCAATAATTTAGTTATATCTCTTATTATTATTTTATTTGAAAACATAGATATTGGTACAAGGGGGCACCAAATACATGTGTGGGGGCTACAACGCTGCCCGGGTACCCAAACCGAAGCAGGTGAGCTTCTTAGGGGACCACACCAGGAACCTTCGACCTAAAGGTCTGATCCACAAGGCAGTGGAACAACGTCAGGAAATGCAGTCTCGTGGTTTCCAGTGACCAACAATTGGTTCATACGCCATTTGCTCCTTCAGGATCCTGGAGCCCATGTGCACCGTTGGTTTGGAATCAGGGTTTTCAAACTCCCCTAGATGAACTCTCCATATCCACCAACTCGATTAGAGCGCCGGACATTCGCCTTTCGTCCTCTCAGTTTTGTAAACAACACCTGCACCACGAGAAGGCAATGAGTAGGACTTCCCTGACAGAGGCTATAAACGCGTGACCATGTGAGAGCATTTCGAGAGGGAGAGCGGACTCTACCCACTCTCGGCCGTACAAGGGCATTTGGGGGCGATATCTGTTTATACCGTAATTTATAGACATACATTAGATTAGTAATTAATTAATACCAACTATGTCAGTTCGATACACCTAAATTCATTTACTGACCGGATATTCAAATTGATATGTACCTTATTCCAATTTTTAATATCGTTTTGATCAGTTGTGAATAAACGTGTTAGCGGGACATAGACTGGATTAAAGCATGCTCAATGCACGATCGCTTTGGTGAACGCTGATTGGCTAACTCTTATCCAATCAGCGTTAGTCAACACTAGAAATCTCATGTGAAAAACTATAAATAAACTAACATTTTTCCTATTGTACTTACTTGCTTCTTACTTCCATCTAACCTCGTTATTTGGAATATGATCTCTTTTCTGTTCAACCATGTTCTGATTGGTCGAATCATAGCTTACGAAAAACTGTCTCAGAGATCCGTCTCCAACCGGGAAACTCATTCATCGGTTTATAGTAAGCATATGACAACTTCCCCCGAGGATCCTTACAAAATGTTGAGTCGTCTGAACAACTTGAATCCAAGAATGCTTGCAATGTGTTCCTCCCCCTATAAATGGTGTATGCCGGCTTACGACTTTTAAACGATCGTCTTTGGTCTAACTAAAGAAAGCGAAGGGATTATGCATATTGACCAGTCTACTAGTTTCAGAAGTCTTATCAGTCTTGGTAGGTATTCAGCTGACGAAATCTTGGCATAAATACAGGAAACTCAGTTAGTACTTTTTAACCTGAGCCATCTAAACATGACAAATAAATAAAAGCTCCAGAGTATGCTTCCAAATAAGTAAGAGTGAGTGTTGTACACTGTAATTTAAGGTTTTGTAGGACAATGAATATGCTGATGTTAATATACCCTGGTTATTTTTTGTACTACAATTCATTAACGTGGAAAGTTACAAATCTTCATTAAATATGATAAACAGCTTTGTGGAGTTTTGTGTAACCCCCACCATTAAAACTGAAAACATTTGTTGAAATTTCTACTTTAAAGATATCCTATTAAACTGAACAATGACAATGATCAATAAATATATTATGAAACTGGGTACTTAAAGCAGTGAAATGCTTACACTATTTTCAGAGGATAAATCAGATGAAAAGTTCTGAATTTCATGCTCTTGCAGCTCAAATATTAACCTGAGAGTAGCTTCGGCATCTGGATCACCTTCAATAATGAAACCAGCAAGTCCATAGTCTGTTTCACGCATTACATTACGGTTCAGATTTCCATATGATAAATTTTCGATTTCTTTAGGTAGGTCACTATATTCATTGCCATCTAAATCGCAGGCATTATTAGGTTCATTCTTCTGTCCATCTAATTTGAAACTGTATTCAAGAAACTTTGCAACAAGGTTTAACGTTCGATTAAGTAGGAACAAGTCATCAGTTTTCAAAAACTTATAGTTGCGAATATGGCAACCAATCGCCTTTAAGCAACTAGAAAATAACCCAAATAAATGGAAACATTACAAACTATCTGAAGATAATCCGTAGCTATAAGGAACTTATTTTTAATTCCGAAGTTGGAGATAATTTACTTTTCAAAAGAGAATAATAAAATCACACAAGATTGACTAATCATTGCTAACTCCTAGTCTGAGCCATTTTGGTAGATGCAAATGACTTGGTTGGGGTCCACGCGACTATCGCAACCAATGGTTGGAAACTTTGGGCGATATGGCTCAGAATCGATCACAATCGCATGGGCGTAGTTACTCTTTGTCTTCCCTTAAACTGTGAGATTAAAATTACTTTATAATTTTCTTTCTACGAACTAATTCTTTCTCGCTGTATTATATCCTTACATGCAATCATATTTTGTATATATTACTGCCATTGAAGTAACTGCTCCCATGAATTAGGTATGAGGTATGGCAACTTAGACTGATGTATATATGTGCCTGTTTCCACGTTGTAGATGACTGACTAACTGAATCATCACTATAAACCTGTTTAAGAACTGAACAACAACCAATTACTTTACCAATAGATTTTATAGTGTGTGTTAAATAAAAACAGAAGTCCAAATGCTCTTGAACTAGAGAACGATTAGTAAGCTGGCAATAAGACGTAACTATTTTGACAATAAACAAGCACTAACAGCTAGATGTGGTCATGACCACCTCAATAACTATCAACTGAGAATAAAGCTACTCAAAATGTACAAATGTTAAAGCTACGAATAACTGGCTCGCATTTTAATACAAATAAAAAAGTTGATAACGAAAGACTAGGTTCTGCTCCTAGAATAGTTCACGTGAAAAGAAGTGAGTTTGATAAGTGTTTGAAAATTTTTTGCTTCGTCCGTAATAGCTTAAAATGGTCATATCATTTGTAAAGCCTATAATTCAAATAAGTTGCCTAAATTTCAGCTAAATCATTTTAAGTACACACTAAATTCAGTCGCTGCTGTGAAAATTATAAATTGACGAAATAAACTATCATTCTGCAACTCATCCCTGCCCTTTAACTGCAGTGAGAAGTCCAGTTTGTATAAAAGCTTTCTTGAATCGAAGCCCCCAGAAGATTTTTCGTAAGGAAGTGACATCCTTATGAACAGAATATTCAGAAAAATAAACATGATAGAATTTCATAAAAGACTAGATGAAATTAATTTGTAGTCCACTCACTCATCAATCAAAGAAAACCTGATTGTTAGGCACAGCTTTCGTTCATCGTGTCATAATGTGACATATCACTGTGTCAATATTACAATCACAAGTTCAGATGCTATTATGATAGTGTCAGCAGTTACATCTATTTTAATATATTTGATTTCAATTCGTTTTCTGCTAAAATCAGGCCTCATATAAAACTTACCTGTAGTTATAGGACTGGTATATATTTCCTTGATTCAGGTTACACATAAATGTAAAAACTTAAACGACTGAACCTGGTAAGAAGTACGAATCAGACATACGATCATTAAAGTAGGGGAGTGTTAGGTCACTAAACAAGGTAATGACAAACAAATATTTGATTCTATAAACGACGTTTATATCTTTCTCTAAAAAATTAAGTATGACTCACCAAGACAAACGATAGCCTTTAATATCATACTGAAGTTTTGTTAGTCGACGACACGGTGGCTTAAAAACGATTTTCCTCCACAAAACAGGAGATTGAAACACATTATACCACTTTTTACACACACGAGCAGCTCGTGAACGTTCATTCCAATTCAAATAAATAAAAATTTGCTCTAGGATTGAATCCGGTATATTTATCATTAATTAGGTTAAGCTTTATTTTTCCTTCAGAAAACAAATCTAAAACAGCCAACAAAATGTTCGACTTGGCCAAAACTTTTGGACAAGTAGTATTTGGGAAGAGTACCGCTGAAGTCCAATGACATTACAAAGGTGTTACGACAACTGTATGGTATCAATAAACTGAATGTAAATGAAAAGAAATAAATACAAAACTCAGGAAATTATTAACGCTTGAAATATTTAGATGAAACCTCAAAGTAAATTGTATACTGAAACATGTCACACAAATCTCTTTCATAAAAATCGAAATGAATTGAAAACAAGTACCATCATTTATACCTTACAAACTAAGTACTATGTCAAAATCACTTGTCCATTGATTCAGAAAATATATTTGATACATAACTCTTATACACCTAAACTACTGAATAGCTATCTGCCCATAAAATGGAGATTTCACAAGCAGACTAAAAGCTAATAGAGAATAGTAGCCGAATTCAAGGACATAGAGAAAAGATCTATGGAAAAAATTACACGAAATATACATGACTGTAATAGCTAAACACATATCACTATACCCTAGTGGAGCAAAATACCATGTTATTCGGCCATAATCAACGTAGAGTCGGCATAAACGTGTACTGGACCAAAACGAACACATTAGCACAATGAAATGAAAGTAACAAGATGAATAACAAAAAAAAATCGAAGCAATCCAGTAGAAATTGTAATTATAAGAACTAAGCATTGGAAATATGATTCGGAATGACAAGAGGAAAGTATAGGCATGAGATGCTGGAAAACAAAGTCCAGAGGAAGACAGGGAATCCATATACTTGAGCTATTTTGACATATTCCAAGTCATGCTATTTAGCACCTTTAATCAATCATCGACGTTGTCGCGCGGGCCGCAACCAGAAACTATCTGACTAATTGACGTCTTTAGAACTTGCAAATTTGTAAATGAGCTTAAGATCACTTTTAATGTGAAAACAGCAAATCCTGTAAAAATAAGTAGCGGTTTTTACCAACCAATTTGCCACGACAGATTGCTCGGATATATTATCACTGTATGCAGACAGTTCAAAAAGGTTGACAACAATTGGCTTAAATTCACTAACAGAAGTTGAAAGGCATTCATTCAGTGATTTACATATTCAATCTTTCAGACATATTTCATTGCGACTTCTACAATAAGCCCTTTGTTTATCTGGCAAATAGTGTTATACATTGTGTTGCGCCATTTTCTTCACAGTCGGCTATAAACTGAAAGTCATGGAACAGGAAATAATGCAGTTGACTGATGTCAGAATAGAGAAAAATGTTTCTTTAGAGCAACTGATAGGAGTGTCAGTGTTTTCTGTCAACCGAAAAACGATGCAAAACAGATTAGTGAGGCATGGAAGTCACTTGTGGTATTTAGACAGCGAAAGTTTTAAATCATACTGGTGCAATTTTTTTCAGTCGATGTCCAGAGTGGACAAATAAACGTTAGTAGCCTTTAATTCTATCCTACAATTACCTATGGGCAATAGTAAACCGTAATCGTAAGACCATGACTCACTGACGTGTAGTCACAACTAAACGGTTTTGGACGATACATGCATTGGTGGGGTTTTGCCCAGTTAGATACGACTATGTTTACCACGATCTACGAAACGCTAGTGAGTTATGAGTAAGAAAACTGTGTACGGGCAGTAAGTACCCGTGGTGAGACTACAGTTTATGGGTGACCTGTAAAGATCACCCATAAACCGTCGATTGACCGGCGATAGTGACCTTGCAAGGTCACTCATGAGTGTCCACCTAATACCTAGGACCGAATAAATGTGAAAAAACTAGCATGAGGAATGAGAACTATGATTTTCACTTGATGGTCAAGGTTCAGGATTAGATTTTGCGTTTTCATCATGAACTGATATCAGTTAAAATGCAAAAAACTCTATTTGGCCTAATGGATGAAAGACTGATCTAAACTAAATAGTGGTTGAAGAAGTTGAGCACAGTTTACCAACTCGTGACCTGGTCGATATTCAGTGATCTAACTTTCGGATGATTTAGCTACGGCTTAGTGACATTTCACTGGCCCTGCAAGGGAAATAATTTTCAGTTTCAGTTTCAGTTTCAGTTTGGGAAGGACAGGAGGCTCGATGGCCTATGCTAGTCCTGGCAATGGTGGTCTCTCAGTTGATCCAACTTTCTTTTGAAAGAGTCGACGGATGGAGCCTCAACCACGTGCTGAGGTAGTGAATTCCACTCGTTGATGATTCGATGGGAAAGTCGATAGTCAGCTGACAAGTAATTTGTTCTCGGCTTATGAACTTTTTTGGAGTGTCCTCGTAAATTCTCTGTTTTGGAAGACAAGAAAAATGAGGGCATGTTAGGTGCGAATTTATCACTAAGCAATTTGTAGACTGTAATCAAGTCGCCTCTAGTTCTGCGATATGACAACGGGAAAAGGTTCAGCTTGGTCAGTCGAGATTCATACGGAAGTTTCGCTATTGCGGGAACCAGCTTAGTCGCCATTCTCTGAACCTTTTCCAGAAGCTCTCTGTCTTTTTTAAAGCAGGGGCTAGCCGCTTGTATGCAGTACTCAAGTTTAGGACGAACGAACACTGTATACAAAGTCATAAACGTCTTAGTGTCGACATGACTAAAAGCCCTACGTATTGACCATAATGTTCTAAAACTTTTGGCGGCTATTGCACGGCAGTATGCAGTAGTCTTTAAGTCTTGACTAACGATAACTCCTAAGTCATTATATGTCTGGACGACTGGTAGCTCAGTGTTATTCATCGTGTATGTATCTGTGCCTTGATGACCGATACGCATCACAACACACTTGGAAGTATTTATCGGCAACTGCCATGTTTGAGACCATTCAGATAACTTCTTCAAGTCATTTTGAAGTTCTAAGCTATCACTCTTACATCGTATCGTTCTCCATATCTTGACATCGTCAGCATATAGCAAGACCGATGATGATAGGAGACAAGGAAGGTCATTTACATACAAGAGGAATAGCACTGGCCCCAAAACTGTACCCTGGGGCACTCCACTAAGCACAGTTTCCCAGCTAGATAACTTTGAGTTCACCCTTACTCTTTGTTGACGCCCAACTAAGAAGTCTTTTATCCACATCAATAAATTACCTCCAATCCCGACATGTCTTAACTTATATAACAGCCGGTTGTGCGGAACTTTACCAAAAGCTTTACTGAAATCAATGAAGGCGACGTCTACAGGTAGCTTTTGGTCCTTAAGAGCACACCAGCTTTCACGAGCCACTAATAAGTTAGTGAGACAAGAATAACCTATTCTGAAGCCATGCTGCTTCTCCGAGAGGATCCGGTTTTTATCGAGATACTTAAACAGCTCCTTCCGAATAATCTTTTCTAATATTTTAACAACCACACTAGTTAGGCTAACGGGGCGGTAGTTCTCAGGTTTGTGTTTCGTGCCTGTTTTGAAGACAGGACTTACTATGGCGTTTTTCCAATCTTTCGGTAAGCGACCCTGCGTAACGGATAGGTTAAAGCATGTACTTAAAGGGTTCGCAACGAAGTTAGATAATTCCTTCAGTAGCCTAGGATGTAATTCATCGGGCCCCGTGGATTTACCTATGTCAAGCTTATTTAGCAGACCAAAGACATCGAGTTCTTTAATGGTCACGCTATCCAGTGTATGTATGGGGGGATCTGTATACGCTGACGAGAAGGGCGCTTCTATGGTATACACGTTGTTAAAGTAGTTCGAGAACGCTTGAGCCTTACCAAAGTCGTCCTCCACTAATGATGAAGCAGTACTGTCTCCCCATAGAGCAGGAATATTTCCTTTTCTCCTTGTCCTTTGGTTTATATAGGAATACAAGCGTTTAGGACATTCTATGGATTCCTTAACAAGTTTTTCTTCGTACAATTTTCTAGACTTACGGAGGGTCGAGGCACAAGTGTTCCGAGCCTTTCGATACTGAGATTTTGACTCATCAGTCCCCAGTAACCTAAATCTATCCCACGTTTTCCTTTTCTTACGGAGAAGGATACGGACCTCCCTACTGAACCATGGTGGTCAGTTTTTCGGCCCCTTTGGTATAGTCCAAGGGATGTGGGGTGTGGTAACTTTTAAGTATGATTTTCGAAATGTGTCCCAGGCCGTTTCAATGGAGGACTCTGGGTCTATTGTCCAATCTATTAACGACGCTGAGTGCATGATGTCTGGTATGTTTGCTTTCCAGACGTTGGGTCTGGACTGGACTGACGCGTCCTCATGACTGGCAGTTATATGGAAGTCTAAAGTTAAAACTGCGTGGTCACTTTTACCTAAGGGTGGCATATGGTGGAGGTTCGCAACATCATCCTCATAGTGAGTCAGTATAAGATCTAATAAGGATGATTCAGTGTCCGGGTCGTACCTAGTCGCTTCTTTCACATGTTGCACTAGGGCACATGTGATAACCGCATCAACTAGTTCCTGCTCGAAGGAATTTTCTGACGATTCAGTTCGCAGATTTTCCCAGTCTACCATTGGCGCATTAGAGTCCCCTAGGATTAGACATCGACCACTTTGGGACCAAGTATTGAGACTGCTAAACACGATCTCATTTGCCTCACAGCTTGGACTGCGATAGACCAAACCAATCAGCAGCTCTTGTCCCTTGCATTTTAAGCGAAGACTAACTAATTCACACGTCCCACTCTCATGGGATACACTATCGATAATGGTAAATGGGATAGCATTCCTAATGAATAGAGCTACTCCCCCTCCTTTGCGCTTTTGTGTCCTGTCGGCCCTTACTAACGTAAAGCCCTCGAAATCAAGTTCTATACTATCTATAGCCTGTGTCAGCCAGGTTTCTGTTACTGCGATTATATCTGGCTTTATAGAGTCAATCTGTACACCTAGTTCCGATCGCTTATTAAGTAAGCTTCGTGCATTGGTGTAACAGATCCGAAGCCTGTTTAGGTGCCTTCGTGCTTCACCCATAGTGGCTTCGGCATCATTCTCTGTCGAAGTCTTACAACCCGAAAATTTACAATTTTCAGGTCCTTTTCGCCAGCGTCTAACCTATGTTGTAGTTCTTTCTCGGCTTTCCGTCTTTTAACACGGTCTGCCAACGGTAGGTCCTTTCGGATAAAGACTCCCGAGCCCTTTAATTTGTGTCCATTTTGTAAAATTAGGTCACGTTCGTTTGAAGAGCCGAATACTACTTTAAGCAGTCTGGAATGATTTGGTTTCGAGTCCGTTAGACTCCCTAGTCTATACACCTTTAGCAAGGTGACCCTAGTCATATTCTGAGGCATGAGTTGATTAAGCAACTGCCTAATCAGTACAATATCATGCTCAAAACGAGCTTTAGGTTCAGAGCTATCGCTCTCCTTAATTCTATGAAAAATAGCTGATCTGTCGCTATGATCAGCTTTCGATTTTTCAACCAGTTTTACGGGGGCAGGTTTCCCTTTTATATCAATACTTTTCTTCCTTACAACCTTTACCCATTCGTTAACGCTGCTGGTAGAAGCAATAGCAGTTGCGTCAAAACTAGTGTTGGGTTTTGGGGGGTTGTCGACGACCTGAGGGGTCGTGTTATGTTGACCATTTGAAACCGATCGAGCCTTGCGATTGCGGCTCCTAGGTGTTTTCTGTTGGATCCCATCTGGGAGACGGGGAACAGAAGACCCTACTTTTCTTGAGCTTTTTTTTAAGGCAGACCCCTTTGGAGACTGCTTTTCCTTCTTCGACGGGCGTGAGTCATCTATCACCGGACTCACCTTAGTTTCCTTCACATTGATTTGCGTGTCAACAGATCGAGTGCTGTTTGACGCGTTCCGACTATGCTTGTTGAAACACTTCTTTGCAGCATCAACCAGTGAGATAGCCTCGGTTAACAAGCTGCTTGCATCCGAGCAGCACTGTTGACAAAGCCACACACAACCCTTCTTACTGAACCGTTTGAAAGCAGCAGGCGTTAAGTTCGTGCAAACTTCGTGGTACCAGCCTTTGCACTCGTCGCACTGCATGCCGCTTTCAACAGGATAACGACAACCCGGACGTTGGCAACTGCTTTTTTTACACTGTCCGGTCATTTAGGAGGGGTTTTTTCAATATGCGATGATACCCAGAAACAAAAAAAATTATCAATGACCAAAAAAAGTGAAGAGCTGTAGATTGCTAGGACCAAAAGTACTAACAGATACAGTTGAAAAAGTGGTACTAAAGAGTACCAACGACAAAACAGTAAAAACGATACTTTAGTCGAATACTTTAACTGAAATAACTTCAATTAAAGTGAAAAACAGTAGTCTTGATACGTAATAAACGATCAAAACAATGAAATTTACTCAGCGAGGAAAAATACCACTGTCCTTTTTAAATAGACCGCGACTGTACTCGCATGTACATTACCGACCACCAAAGAAATGCAGATTTTGAGACGAACTGCGGCGGCAACATGGCTTGATTATGGCATCACAAACAACAAAATCAATTTATTAAACCAGCTTCTACCTTGTGCCAGCAGTAACGCAACAGAAGATTCTGCCGCCCACCAAAAATAAGTAAAAAGCCTCTCAAATTAAAAAAAGCAGATCATTTAAGAACTGCCGTCTCAGTTATCTTGTTGCAAGAGTGGCACGGAGTTCTTTTATTTTTATTGGTATTGTGCAGACTTTTTCGGATTGTTTTTATCAACTAGTGGTAGTTCTTTTTTTTATTCTCAGTTTGTTTTTGCTTGACAGTGGACTATTTCATTTTACTTCAGTCAAGCACTTCAGGATTTCCTATAAGTTTTTGTAGCTACAATCCTTTTAGTCGCACTAATGCATGTTTCAAGGTGTGCTTGCCCTACACCTGTCTGCTATTCGTACAATACTGTGATTTTTAAATTTTCGAATCATTAGAAAATTAACTTACTATATATCCACCATTTTTCGCTCTTTTTTCTACTTAAAACTCACACTGATTCCTCTTTGTCAGTCTCACGAATCGACGTATAAAATATACACACTGTAACACTTTCGTAATCCGTTTTTATTATTACATCAAATTAACGTGTCGGTCAACGAAAATGTACAAGGATAAATGATTTAGATTTTATGTTATTATCGCTCATTTTTCGTCCATTACATCAGTTAACTGGTGTGTTCACGACACACAGTGTAGATTTCTTAAAAAATGAGACAGCACTATGAGAAGACAAAATCTCTTCCGGCAGCAAATTACGTAAAAATTCTAAGATGGACGCGAAATAATGCCAAACACTCATTGCTCCCTTATTTTACTGCTTTCAAATAGTCTCAGACATACATACTAGGACAAACGATCACAAAGGAGTGGGCTATAGAAACCTCTTCGAGATTCTATACGGTCAATGAAATATTGCTAGGCAACAATCAAACCACCCATAGAGATGAAATATTTAGATTTCGAACGACAAGCAAGACTTGGATTAATTTATTATCATCAATTTTATTATTGCATTCTATACTTATTCTTTTTCATTTTTATCATCGCCTATGTTAATCTATCATTGTGAACTTTCGTTGCTTCATGTCAATGCTGATTAGTATTTAAACTTAAATACTTAGTTCAATCGACAGAAATAATCAATCAACTATGATTGTGATCGGCTATCGTGGTTCGTTAACAAGCATTAGCAGCATGTAAATGCTCCTGTGTAATATGTATGTTAAAGTACCAACTACTAGTTAGTATAGCCACAAAGCCACACGAACGCACACCTGTTTGCAACAAGATTAACTGTCGGTTATAGATGCATCTTTCTGCTTGACCACTATCCACTAATTTTTTTTTACTTTCTTTGACCACGGCCTGCCTAATTTCCAATTGCTGAGTTCCATGGCCAAACAGAGGATACGAATGCTAGAAATTTACAGTGAGTTTAAACTATGAATTTTCTTCAGTCTTAGATCACGTTTAGATTGTTCATCAGGCAATGCTATGTATTTGGCTTAAATTAATTCTAGACTTATACGACTTCAGTCTACAACTCTGCGTTAATAGAAAAATTTAATCAACAGTACCTCGTACATAATCCGGATTCAAACTACTGTCTGCTTCATTACTTATAAGCAAGAGTAACCCAGGCGAGTTTCATAATTTCATTAGATTATTTCGTACTATATTTATGATGCGTGATAACATTTCGTAGTTGCTTTCACGTAAAGTAGACATATATCCTGTCACCGCCGTCAAGTTTTAGTCGAAATCATGTACATTTATGACTCGTTAGTCGACATACTTTGGTAAAACATATAGCATGTACACGAGCACGCTTAGTCCATGTCCTAAGTACACACGTTGTCGTACTTAATATGTCAATTAACGCTAGGTAATAAGCTCTTTGTATAAGCCTTTCACGAAATGGCCACGCTACCTGAACTCTCTGAACTTTAGTTACATTGGTGGTTACCATTTTAATTAACGTTTATTATACTCCTTGTATTTGCTATTATTTCACACGGTAAATCATGGCTCGAATTCCTTATTACACGACAGTCATTTTAATTCTATTTTCCGTTTATTTGTATACAATACAGGTTTGGAAAATATCTGAACGTCCTCAAAAATTCTCCACGAACCCAACCATAGTTTTCGTATATGTTTTTATTCACACATACAACTGCTACGCTAGTTATACCTAAACGACCGTTCAGTGCAACTGTTAGTATACGTAAGAACGATGTTATTTAGATTTGACTTTATAGCACATCCGAACTATTGTAGTTATTCTACTTCGATCTTGTACTTTATTTTGTGAAGTATTGTCTCCTCGTGGCTGTTATCTAACTACTCGACGATTTAAAACCTGTCCAGTTCAGTTGGTGGTCTGACAACATTGTCATTCGCGCGAATCATCAGTTTATGTTGTCGAGCGAATCTCCTGCAAACTAAAAACCACATTGTCGTCTCTGTCCCAACACTGATAGAGTTTTTCACTGGTATCATTGACATGAGTCCAGAGCGACACTCTTAGTTTCTTATGTTCTTTTCGATATTTTTCTGTTCACTAACCGAATAAACTAGTAGCACTCACCGTTTATCATCTTCTAGAGACTTCACCGTGCCACCTTTGCTGTTAATTTGCAGCTTACGACCCTTACTGACTGTAACAGCAGTCATCGACTTTTCAAACTCTGACTACAAGTTGATTAATAGCCTAGCACAACGAAATCATGACCACTCTTCACGGTTATACTTCTGTACTTACTGTTAGTTTGTTAAATATAGATATAACTAGAAGCTATCAACGACACTGTCTGACATCCAACTTTAAATCAATGGCACTATGGACATCGGCATCAATTGATAATACACTTAACCTACTATCGCTATAGCATCATTACTCTTGCGGCAAACTGAACGTTTCTCATCGGAGGAACTGAATTACTTGTCAAAGCTATATATTTCAGCGCGACTTGATGAAACAATTAAACGCTTTGTTCTTTTCATTATTTCTATGGTTAATCGCTTTACACTTAACCAACGCTGTACTAACATATATTACTCGCTGTTTTCCCAATCAGTTTCTGCTGCCTACTTTCCATTTTGTTCCACAGCTCGGCAATACCCGGAGGATTCATACTAATCGTTTGGTAATCTCCGGGCTCACCAGTGTAGATCACCAACGTAGATGATCTATGTCGAAAATGATTGGAGACCTACTCGAGTTAGACGGGGATGGTGTGACGAACCAGCTAACTTTGAAGTCACACTTCGTGGTCAGCACCTTACGTGGACCACCCCATTGACGTGTCAAGGTACTATAGATGCTTTGAAGACTGTACAACATAGAGAACGTTATTACAGAAATATGTTATTTAAAGTAGATACAAGCGAAAGTAAGACCACTGCCGCATGCACCAGTCCATGGCATATCATTAACTGATGCGCTTTGGTTGCCTCTGACCTTGACGAGGATCGATGATTTGCTCGATATTCAATGACCCGACTGCCGGGTGATTTGGCTAGGGCTTAGTGACATTTCGCTGGCCCTACAACTTCGACGCAAGCTAATAGGTCACATTGATGTTGCTCAACTGGAGTAGACCGTTATCATCCACATACACATGTCTAAAAATAAGTGAACTAAGCTGACTAGCTGGACGTGTTCAGAGACATCAATGTCCAATACTTGTGGAACCATTTATATCAGGGGTTTATTTAACAAGGACATCTGCTACACTTGATAAGCCATACATATAAGTTAGAAGATTTCCCTCCTGAAATATTGCTCAATGGAAAAGATCTAGATGTCATGATCCTGTATAATACAAAGTCTTTTGCTAAATGTGGTAAACATGCCCAAAGGTAGACCTTGTTCTAACAATCTTAGGGCTTACGTTTCATAAACCCGACAAGAGAACTTTACGTCTATTTTTCGAAAGCTTTATTTGGAATTTTGGAACAGCGTTTCCAATTTTGAATCCAACGGATAAGAATACCCTAGTGATATATAGTCAACTCCTGGATTCAAATCCACGTTTTGCAGAGAATGCCTCACATCACAGGATTTTTGACCATTAATGAAATACAGCAAGATAAACGTTTCCAAACATCCTCGAAAGACTCTTGAAAGCTCAGTTTCAGTGCGACTTTTGCAAAAAATATCCAGAAAATAGAGCAACAATAAATTTTACTAGACTGTTGATGCACTTTTGGTTCCTTGCGAGTAGTTAAATCTTGGAGATTGCCATCGAATAAAGTGGTCTTGAGATCACTGTAATCATACTGAGAGAGAACTTGGTAAGTTGTAAAAGACTCAAAACTGCATATCGTAACAATCTACTAATAGTTCCTTTACTCCTTCTAATTTTGCTCAACTAAGTACCAACATGAAAGCATCGACTATTTATTTTCTTTAGATATATGAACTCATTCATCGAAAGCCTCTTTCATTTCATCCACGACCTGATGTTAATTCTCTTGTTACGTCCAAGATACTGCTGTTGCTAGTATCCTTGAACACTACTTCACTAGACATCTCCCCAAATCATAACATGATTGAACAGGAATGTAATTATATTCCGAATAAACATAGTTCAAAGAAAGTAAGAATCGCAGTGAAAAATGCCCATACACTTATAGTTTTTACGCAAGAGGATCCCACAATTTTCTCTGGGTATCCACTGGCGCTGATTGTTTGAAAAACAAACGATGAGTGTGGCCCTAACACAATCCTTCACGGAACATATCCTACTCTAATTTATCTCCTACTAACACCACCCCTTTGAGTAGGTTCGTTGGATCTGGTGTCAGAGTCTACGTCGAACCGCGTGACTAATCTGTGCTTTCGATTTGTCCACCATCTAAGGAACAAAGAAGTGGCAGCACTTTGCCTAAACGGAGACTGTCTTGTTTGTTTCAGAGCTTCAAAGCCGCCCCGCAAAACATCAAAATGTACTTTATACTGGGTCTCGTTGCCGAAAAACAAAGTCGCTTTCAATTTGCTAATATGACTCATCCAATCTTCCGAGCCAAGTGACACACCATGAACCACACTTCCTTTCTTTGGCCAGCCATCTATG